TCAAAACTAATTTTTTAATCTTTTATAAGATTTACTATTATATTATTAAACTTAAAGAATTTTTTTTATATCTTCTAATTTTCAAAAGATTTATTTTAGATATAAATTTTAATATATATTTAAATAAATAACATAAGTTAAATATTAATTATTTTTTATAAATATTAATTATAATTATTATTCTGTCCTGTAGACAGAGATGTCTAGCCCAATAGGCTAATATGTTACTTTTAGATCTAGGTGCTCTCTAAGGTATCTATGAGTTGATATCCTTGAGTCTAGCAGATCATTGTGCACAAAGAATATAAAATAGCTTTCGCCAAAGGGGTGGTGTGTATGCACAGTGACAGCATAATAGTAAGAGATAGAATAATCATACAAGTAGATTTTACCTCCTATTTATAGAGTTTACATGTGGGTATTGGGTTTAGGACCTTCTGTGCCTCTTCTAGCAACCCAAGCCCATGTTTAATGTTGCCGTATTATGATTGATATCTTTGATGGATATCCTCCCTTAATTATATCGAATTTATATTTGGATTGTCCCTTATTGGGCTTAGTAGCAAATGGGCCTCATATATGAGTCCATAACAGTTGTCCCTCAGTCAAATAGTCTGGGTGTCTAGGCTGCCGAGGTGTATATAAGCTTGAAAAATTACTCAGGTTTTTATGATAAATTTCTCGAATTTCTCATTGAAAGGTATCCAGGCTTATATTCGTGATTACCCGGATTACCATTTGGGAATATCCAGGATTTTTATATTGGTTCTCAGGGATAACGTATATGTTCTCCATCTCGACAAATTGAATCTTCAACTTGCCGAGATATAATTTATATTGTTTATCTCGACAATATATTGTTTATATTGCCCCTAGGTTCATCTTTTATCAACCCAGTTGAACTGTTCAATATAAAGCTTATCGTCACTTTGTTACGTGAGGAAGCATCTCTCTTGAAACTCGACTTTTGGCCTTTGTATAATTTCTTATGTCAGGGCTCTATATGAATCGGGATAATCTTTGTCTGCCTCCATAAATTATGGATCCAAGATAAGGGCATAATACTGTGAAAGCAATGATGAAACCCTTACACATGGTGAACATTAATATTATTAGCATGTTGTAAACAGCCTACACCGTCTTCGTATTCCGTGCACATTAAATGCCCACATCATTTCATCCATCTAATCATTGATTTATGGGGTACATTGATGTTCATACCCTTGACCTTTGCTATTCGAATCGCCAGCAGTTATTTTCACTATTCATATTCCCCTTTTTTGCTATTCAAGAACAACAGTTGCAGTTTGTTATTCATATTTCCTTCTTTCGCTACTCAAGGGTTGATATCTTTCTCGCATTTCTAAGAGGTTTTCACTGCGCTCTCATCTTCCCTTTGTGAAACACAAAGTTTTGGCATTTAGTCTTCTTCATTTGCAACACATTTTGATCTACATTCCCTTCTTGTTCAAGTACCTTTGTTTATACTTTAAATAGGCTAATGTTTTGTCCTGAAGACATAGATGTCTAGCCCAATAGACTAGTATGTTACTTTTGGATCTAGGTGCTCTCTAAGGTATCTATGAGTTAAATACCTTTGAATCTAGTAGATCATTGTGCACAAAGAATATAAAATAGCTTTTCCCAAAGGAGGAGGTGTGTGTGCATAGTGACTGCATAACAGTAAAAGAGAGAATAATCATACATGTAGGATTTACCTCCTATTTATAGAGTTTACCTATAGGTATTGGATTTTGGACCTTCTATGCCTCTTCTTAGGGGTGTTCAAAAAAATCAAATGATCCAAACCAATCCATAAACTGAAGCAAACCAGTTCCAAAAATCGGTTTTTATAAAATGGTTTAAAAACCAATCCAGTTTTTTAATTTTGGTTTAGGTTCGGTTATCCATTTTCACAAAAGTTTGGATATTCAAAATAACCAAACCATATCCATTTTTTTAATCATTTTTTATTTTTACTTTTTAACCCTATCTTTAATATTTTGAATATTTGATTTCTGAGCACATGAACCCTAACTCCCAAATTTCCAAATATCTTCTTTGATTTCTGAGCACATTTCTATTTTCTCATGGAAATAGACAAGGAAGACAGATAAATGAAATAGTAAAAGTTTGACTATTATTTGAAATGCCTTAGAAAGAACAATCAATAAATTAGAAATTTGGAATTCAGAAGCAAGTAGAAACAACTTATGCTTCTCTTCTTCCCTCTATTTCTAGCTTTCAAGTTCCAAGCCACAATCCAAAATCTCCTCTCCTTGAAAATTCTTGAGGTCTTCAGTAAGATCCCAAAAAGCATATCCTAAACAAGTTGTATGATTTGTTGACCTTTTCTCTCAAATATAGTGGGCCTTCTCATGTTTAATTAATATAGCCTAGATATTTTAGCAAAAAATAAACAAATAAAGTATAAAGGTATTTTTATTTTATTTAAAAAAATAGCACAACTCATCAAAAACTGGTTTTGAAGTTGTTATAAAATTGATTTTGGACTTAATAACCGGTTTATGGTTCATAACCGATTTTGATTTAAACCCGATTTTGAATTAAAATTGGTTCAAAACCGATTTTAATTGGTTTTAAATCAAAATTGATTTTGAACCATAAACCGGTTTTGGAATCGGTTTCAAACCGGTTTAGATAAATAAAAATTGGTTTTCAAAAAGAAAATCGGTTCAGTTTGAAAATCAAACCATTTAAAATCGGTTCGGTTCAGTTTTTGTCAAAACCAGTTATGAACCGTTCCATGCACACCCCTATTGTGGAAACAATGCAGTCAATATGAAAACATAGAAATTCAAGCACTCCCCTACTATGGAAACAATGCAGTCAATATGAAAAATATAGAAATTCAAGGATTTTGATGATTACAAACAAACATGGAAAGAACCTCAAGCATTACAACTTGCAACATTAAAAAAGAAGTCTAAAGATTCAAGCAAAGCAAAGATTGTGAAGTCTATCAAGACATTGGACAAAGCTTAAAGAATATCAAGCCTCAAGCTTCAAGAGAAGAATCTAAATTCAAAATGTCCATAAATAATATTTTAGATTTAAATGTAAAGGTGATTTGCATGAAAAGCTCAAAGTTGTTTTTCTAAAACACATGCATTAAATCATCATTTGATATTAAGAAAGTTTCCTAACATCTCTTATTCATGAAAGCATAATTTTAGACATTTATCAAATGATTAAAAGTAAGTACAATTGAATTGAAACAAAAAGAATCAATCTAGAACGTATTTTCAGCCTTTCCAACAGGCTGAGAATCGATTCTCTCTCTCTGAAAGAGTTGGGAATTGATTCCCACAGCAAGGGAATCGATTCCTCTTGCACCAGAAGACAAAAATAACGGTCATAAAATGGCTAGTTTGCGAAAATGACTGAATAAACACTTAGGGGCCTCTATAAATAAGAATCAATGTTTCATTGATTTGTCAACACTTCTTGATCATTATTCTTCATTTAAATCATATTATTTGGTTATTCTCATTCATCTTGATCATAAACACTCTTTGAGCTTTATTTTTGTGAAAGTGTCAACACCCATTGTTCTTTAACTTGTATAATCTGTACGTTGAGAGTACCACCTCCATTTGATTTCTTGAATAATTAGGGAATGAACCCTTTACACTTGAGAAGTCACCAAATTCCGAAGAAATTTTGGAGTGAAAAATTTTAAGGCATCAAGAGCCCAGAATCTTGAAATGTTATAGTGGTTTGTCAAGTACCCTCAAGCTTGGTAGCTAGTGAAAAAGTTTGATCGAGTGGCTTCAGTCTGGATGTAGGTCACGGTGGTGGTGACCGAATCAGAATACATCTAGTTCGCAATTTCTCTAACTTTAAACTCCTTACTTAAGTCTTGAAATTGCATTTTTAAATTGTGTTTATTTATTCGCTTGCTTACTTTATTGATCACACACTTGCTTCTACACTTAAATTTTTCCTTTTTAAATCATTTCATTGAAGAAACACTCTTTAAATTATCAAAGGAAGTACTTTGTGAAAAGATTTTATAAAACTCAATTCACCACCCCTCTTGAGTATTGAAGCCACTTATCGAACACCTACCTCTTCTAGCAGCTCAAGCCCATATTTAATGCTGTCGTATTAAGATTGATATCTTTGATGGATATCCACCCTTAACTATATCATATTTATATTTGGATTGCCTCTTGTTAGGCTTAGTAACAAATGAGCCTCGTATATGAATCCATAACAATTACGAAGAAATATTAACACACTCGAGAATAAAGATCACTAAAAAAAATCCATAACTTTTGCAACACGAAAATAATAATAAGGGAAAACATCGTCCTAGGAGAATTATTTTCTTCTATCAGTGACTTTTTAATTTTAGTACAATATTTTTATATTTTTTTAATAGATGTGGGCTCTACATAAAATCTATCTATAGCATGAGATTGTTTTCTCTTAGTGCATAAGAAAATTGAAACCCTAATAATAATAGTAATAATAATACAAACTCTTATAAACTACTCTATATATTTTTGGGAATGCATTTCTAACCGAGTTTATTCTCAAAAAAATATAGTTAGTAAGAGTTTGTAAAGCTTACCAAAAAAAGAGAGTAAGAGTTTGTAAATATAATATTTTCTCAGTAATAATAATAATAATAAAAGGGGAGAATTGTATAAAAAAAATCCCTCTTTTATCATATTGCAAGAATTCTTGCAAATGTTTTTTTTTAATTTTGTATTTTTAAGAATACATAATTATATTATTAAAGTTATTTTTTTAACTTTGCACTCTTCGGAATATATAATTAAAAAATAATTAATAATTTTTTTAAATATATATTTTTAAGAGTACATAATTAAAAAATTATTGTCAGTTTTCTTTTAATTATATTTCCAGCAATATGATAATAAAACTATTTGCCAAGAAAAAAAAAAAGTTGAGAAAGAAAGAAAACTAAGCAAGAGTAACAGTTACTCCAAACTAATGAACATGTTCTAGTCTTCTCTGCTTGTATGCCACACCCACACCAATAGGAGAGCCAAAAATCTTGTTGCAGGAACCTTCTCGTTCTTCGAAGCTACGGTACTAAGGATATAATCCGGATCGACCCATCTCAGATCCGATCCAAACAAAAACAAAGATGAATATTTTCAGGTTAGCTGGGGACATGACCCATTTGGCCAGCGTCCTTGTCCTCCTCCTCAAGATCCACACCATCAAATCCTGTGCTGGTATCATCTCTCATACTTTTCTTGTCTACATTTTCTGTTGGAAAATTGCTTTTGGGCTTGTCGGTTTGCACGGTATCTTTGTTGGGTTGAAGAAAAATTGTAGATTTGGAATAATGCTGATGTGGGGCTGTGTGTCTGTGAGAGATTTTGCTAGAATGAGTTATCAGTTGGCTAAAAGTTGTGAAAATGTGATGTGGGGTGTGGTGGTGGTGTTGTGAAACTTAGTCTTGGGTGATTTTGTTCATTGTTATCTTGTTGTATCAATTTTAAAGCTGTTAATGTCAAAGGCTATGATATGAATGCACCAAACTCCTATTAGGATTTAGGAAAGGAGAGTGGAGTAAGGTTTTAAGGTTTATATTAAGTGGATTTTGTTTCGTTCAAGGGTGCTTTTATTTTCGTACATGTGCTTATCTTGGGTATTATTTTGGTGTTTCTAATTCATTGGCATGTTGTTGTTACAACCCACTTTACCTTACCATGCAGTTGTTGGAGGATATATTTTTCATATAGAAATTAGGAAGGAGGACCTCATAACTTTAGGATTACAAATTGTGAATGTGAATTAAATTATGTAGTTCTTGTCCTTCTCATTGTGAGTGTTATAGAAGTTTACCGTTTGTGACCTGGGATCTAGTTCCTTCATCATCTGGAGTTGCACAAATTTTAATTTGTCAATAGGAGATGGGCAAAATTTTAGGATAATACTCGATTTTGGAGCTTTTTCCTTTTGGGGATTGCTTTCATTGTTACAACCTCCTGTTAGGATCGTTGTTGTGAGAAGGAGTATTTCTAGTTGATACTATAGGTCTCAGTTTACTGGTTTAGTGCCTAATGGATTAATCATCATTGCTTATGATTGGGGGATCTTTTCAATGGAAATAGCTACTATAGATATTTTCTTATGAATAAGGAATCATCTTGCATCGTGAACCCTTTCTTTTAAACTAAGCAAAACTCATATTGTAAAGTGTTACAAGGCTTCTTGCCTTGTTCTAGAACAGATACAACTTATCATTTCTGAGGAAAGAAGTTTGGGGTTTACCACAAACACTATGTCTAATAAATGCCCCTGTTCGACAGACTGCAATATGAACAATTAGTCCATTACATAAATCTGAAAGTATGATTCTAACAATTTTGAGTACTTTTTGTGAATAGCATGTGTGTTAACATTATGACTAACCTTTAGCTTCGTCTATTTCTCTTTGAGCAAGAAATGACATGTCCCAAAGTTCTGTATTGGTTAAATTTGTAAAACGAGGGTACTATTAGGCATAAGTATGTCGTAAAAGAAGAATAAGGAGAATTGTAATTCCTACGAAAGTAATGCAGGTCAATTATAATTATTTATTGTGCTGCTGCTCAGGCTATTGTAGATGAGTACTTTTCATGCTACTGTAACTCAAGTACTGTTCATGATTCTGTTGTGCTATAGTACTATGATAGCCTGAACAGAAGCTTAACATATAATTATAGAAATGCTCTTTTCTCCTGCATCAAGAAGTATATGTTTCTCCCTCCTCTTGTTGTGTTTCTTTCTGCTTAAGGAAGAACAAAGACTATTTTATTCTATTGGAATATAAGACTGAAATGTATTTTTTTCATATATAGATTGATACCCCAAAGGGTTCTATTTATACATATTACAAGGTAGTTAAGGAGATGAAGTAATAAATAAAATACACAGTAACCGAAGAGGCATCACACTATTCAAAGATACTAGTAGCTAGAAACAAGTAAAAGACTCTAGAATATTCTACACTCCCCCTCAAGTTGGGAGATATATATTGATCATCCCCAACTTGCTAATTAAATCCTCAAAGATGGGTTTATGTAATCCTTTGGTGAGAATGTCGGCTGTTTGCTCCTTGGTAGGTATATATGACAAACATACACTACCCTCCTCTAATTTTTCTTTAATAAAATGACGATCATCCTCCACATGTTTGGTTCTATCATGATGTACAGGATTTTGAGCAATACTGACTGCAGCCTTATTATCACAATAGAGTCTGACAGGTAGAGAATAAGATATCTTTAACTCTTCAAGGAGTCTTCTTAACCAGATTCCTTCACAAATGCCATGGGCTAGCGCCCGAAATTCTGCTTCTGCACTGCTTATGGCAACAACAGTTTGTTTCTTACTTCTCCAAGTCACAAGATTTCCCCAGACATAGGTACAATATCCTGAAGTGGATCTTCGGTCCATTGCAGAACCAGCCCAATCAGCATCTGTATAGATTTCTATCATCCTCTTGTGTCCCCTTTTAAAGAGCATTCCTCGACCAGGGGTGTTTTTGAGGTACTTGAGGATTCTATAAACCGCACTAAGGTGTTTTTCCTTAGGAGAATGCATGAATTGGCTAACCATGCTAACTGCAAATGCAATATCAGGCCGAGTGTGAGATAAGTAGATCAGCTTCCCTACCAACCTTTGGTACTGCTCCCTGTCAACATCTTTTCCATCTTCAATTCCCAATTTAATATTGGGTTCAACAGGAGTTTCTACTGGCTTGCACCCGAGCATACCTGTTTCTTGTAGCAGGTCTAGGATATATTTCTTCTGAGATAAGGAAATTCCGGCCTTGCTACGAGCAACTTCCATTCCAAGGAAATATTTGAGTGATCCAAGATCCTTCAGTTCAAACTGATTAGCTAAACCCCCCTTTAAAGATTTTATTTCCTCCGAGTCATCACCAGTGACAATTATGTCATCAACATAAACAATGAGGATAGCAATTTTGCCACTATCGGAGTGTTTAAAAAATAAAGTGTGATCAGTCTGAGCTTGGACAAATCCTCTTTCTTTAACAACACGAGTAAACTTTTCAAACCACTCTCTAGGGGATTGTTTAAGTCCATAAAGAGACTTCTTCAACTTGTATACTGAACCATCTCCCTCTTCGAAACCAGGTGGTGGATCCATGTAAACTTCCTCATGTAAGTCCCCATTTAAGAAGGCATTCTTTACGTCCAATTGATGCAAGGGCCAATCAAGGTTGGCAGCAAGTGATAGTAGGACTCGGATAGAGTTAAGTTTGGCAACGGGAGCAAACGTCTCCTGATAGTCTATCCCATAAGTCTGAGTAAATCCTTTGGCAACCAATCTGGCCTTATATTTGTTGATGCTGTTATCTGCATTAAATTTTATTGTGAACACCCATTTGCAACCTACAGTTTTCTTTCCTCTGGGAAGTGCCACGGATTCCCAAGTTCCATTTTTCTTAAGTGCATCCATTTCTTCAAAAACTGCATCCCTCCATTTAGGGTCATTAAGTGCCTCTTGGATATTTTTTGGTATTTTTGTACTGTCTAATATAGTGTTGAAAGCACGAAAACCTGGAGATAATTTTTCATATGAAATGTAATGAGAAATAGGATGAGCAGTGCAAGATCTAGTACCTTTTCGAAGGGCAATGGGCATATCTAGGTCAGATGTACCGGTGTTCTCAAGTGGATTGCTGGAACTAGGACTCGGGTCAGAACTCTGGCAGTCTAGAGGATCTTGAGGAGATTTACGTCTGCTGTAGATTTTTCCCCATTTACCGAGAGGATCTCCCGTCTCTGGTACAGTTGTTGTCCTTTTCTCCTGTTCATTAACTCCCCCTGTCTCCATAGGTAAAGAAACAACACTTGTTTCCAAGGGTAAAGGTAAGACAATAGAATTATTTGGAATCCAAGACTTGTCTTCATTTACACCAATAGACTCCCCCTGAAGAGAAGTCGAAGGAAAAAATGATTGTGTTTCATAAAAGGTAACATCCATAGAAACAAAGACCTTTCGAAGAGAAGGTGAGTAGCATTTGTACCCTTTTTGATTAGGAGGATATCCTATGAAGACACATCTAACAGACTTAGGATCAAGTTTTGACCTTTGATGTGGAGGAATGTGAACAAAAGCTACACAGCCAAACAACTTTGGAGGAAGGGAAGAGAAAGCCCGAAAGGAGGGGAAAAAACGGGTAAGGCAAGATAGGAGAGAATGAAAATTCAGGACACGAGAGGGCATCCGATTGATGAGATATGAGGCAGTCAATACAGCCTCCCCCCATAGGTATTTAGGGACATGCATCGTAAACAATAGGGCTCTAGCAACTTCAATGAGATGTCTATTTTTTCTTTCGGCCACCCCATTTTGTTGAGGGGTGTTAGGACAAGAACTTTGATGGATAATACCTTGCTTGGTTAGGTAATCCCCAAGAACTGAATTAAAATATTCAGTACCGTTGTCAGTTCGCAGGATTTGGATAGAGGTCTGGAATTGAGTTCGTACCATAGCATGAAAGTTTTTAAAAGTGGCTGCAGCTTCAGACTTATCCTTTAGAAGATATACCCAGCATACTCTAGAATGATCATCAATGAAAGTAATAAACCAACGAGTTCCAGATATATTTTTTTCACGAGCTGGCCCCCAAATATCACTATGGATCAATGTAAATGGAGACGAAACATTATAATCTCTGAGGGAATAAGAAACACGAGAGTGTTTTGCAAACTGACAATCATCACAAAAAAAGGAACTTGGTTTTTTATTGATAAATAAGTTTGGAAACAACTTTTGAAGATAAAAGAAATTTGGGTGTCCTAAACGACGATGCCACAACAAAACATCATTACAATCGTCTGATAAACATAAAGAGTGATTTGCAAAAATTCTCTTTTCATGAGAATCTTCTTCAAAATAGTAAAGTCCTTCTTCCTCTCTAGCACTGCCAATCATCAGCCCCGAATCCTGTTCCTGAAAAACACAAGTTTTGGCAGAGAATTTAGCAACACAATGCAATTCAGATGAAAGTTTACTAATAGAGATAAGGTTACAAGTAAGAGAAGGGACATGAAGGACAGAGTTCAGAGTAATATGATCAGAGAGCTTAATGGATCCCTTTCCCGCAATATTAGAGAAACTACCATCAGCAGTCCTTATTCGTGACGGGTGATAATAAGGGGTATAAGAACAAAACAAGGATGCATTACCTGTCATATGATCAGAGGCTCCTGAATCAAGAATCCAACGACTACTACGATCAACATGGAATGCCATACCTTGTTGAGCAACATGACTAGTTGCCTCAGCAGATTGAGACATCACCTTCTGGAATTGCTCATACTGAGCTTTCGGGATGAATACACCATCGGAGTTTGGAGAGGCACGAGACTCTTCACCCTTATCATCAGAAGAGATTTGATAAGCACGACCCTTGTTCAGCCCCTTTGTTTTCCAGTTTGGTGGTTTTCCATGAATTTCCCAACATTTTTCGCGAGTGTGACCACTCTTATTGCAATGAGAACACCATCGGTCAGAACGTTTTGCATCACTAGGGGGACGAGGAGTATGTTTTGCTACTAGGGCAGATACATCGGAGGATTTAGAGTTCTTGTCTCCCAACATTACCTTTCGGCGAAGTTCCTCCCGTCGTACCATAGAAAAAGCAGCTACAATGGAAGGTAACGGGTTCTGCCCCAATATCCTTCCACGAACATCATCAAGATCACGATTAAGGCCAGCAAGAAAATCATAGAGACGTCTTTTCTCTAAATAACTCTTAAACCTTGCATTAGCTTCTAAACCTTGAAGATCTGCTGCATCATAAAGATCCAACTCCTGCCACAGAGTTTTTAAAGCAAGAAAGTATTCAGTAACAGACATCCCCTCTTGATGTAACTCTCTTACCTTGGTGTTGAGTTCAAAAGCTTGAGAAGCATTGCCTAGGTCAGAATAATATTCTTTAACGGCATCCCAAATTTCCTGAGCCGTATCAAGAAACAAATAAGTTTGACTGATATCAGGATCCATGGAGTTAGTCAACCAGGTCATGACCAAGGCATTTTCAGTCATCCATTTATCATAATCAGGATCATCAGCTTCGGGTTTTCCCTTTTTTCCATCAAGATACCCCATTTTCCCTTTTGCTTGGATAAACAGCTTGACAGATTGATGCCATTGCACATAATTCTTACCGTTTAAACGGTGGTTAGTAATCTGTATAGCTGGGTTGTCTCCAGAAGACGAAGAACAGGAAAGAGGAGAGACACCGGAAACATTACCGGATAATTTTTCAGAATGCTTATTCTCATCCTCATTATTTCCAACTTCCATCGTTCTAAAAAGAAAGAGAGCAACAGGTCACGCCTATTGTCTTTGATAACAAAGAGGAAACAACTGGACTTAGCAAGAAAAGTGATCCAATCGTGATTTAAACCCTCAGAACAGGAAGAGGGAAGCCAGGCGAGCCGTTCTGTGGAAGCCGCGTGACAAACGGAAGCCAGCAGGGTGGCGCGTGGCTCACACGCGCCGGAGAAGCAGATCTGTGGTGGCGGCGCGTGGAGGCGCGTGGCTGACGGTCCGGCGACGGGGCTGACGTGGGTCGACTCGGAAATGGCTTCTGAGTTCAGTGGTGGTCTTGGTTTCGTGATTGAAGGGGTCCAGATATGATTTCTGAATTGTAAAAAAAAAACAAAACCGTGAAAAAAATGGAAAAAAAAAGACTATGGAGGTTTACAAGAAGACCACAGGATAACCTGCTCTTGATACCATATTGGAATATAAGACTGAAATGTATTTTTTTCATATATAGATTGATACCCCAAAGGGTTCTATTTATACATATTACAAGGTAGTTAAGGAGATGAAGTAATAAATAAAATACACAGTAACCGAAGAGGCATCACACTATTCAAAGATACTAGTAGCTAGAAACAAGTAAAAGACTCTAGAATATTCTACATATTCATTAACAGATGAAGGAAAAAAGAGTAAAAGTGATAAAGAACAAAGAATTATTCATTAGAGCAGTAGACGCCTACTTAACTGTGGTTATTCATTTTCATTTTTTGGCCATATTGACTGTGGTTTAGTTGGACTTTTTTTTTTTGTACATTTGGATATATCTTTGTGACTGACTTTGGATGCATCTTATATATATGCAGGTGTCTCTTTGAAGACTCAAGAACTCTATGCACTTGTTTTTGCTTCTCGTTACTTAGATATCATTAATCATTATATATCTTTATATAATACCGTCATGAAGTTGATATTCTTGGGAAGCTCATTTTCTATTGTTTGGTACATGAGGTACCACAAGATTGTTCGTAGATCTTATGACAAAGATCAAGATACCTTTCGTCATTATTTTCTTGTTTTGCCCTGCTTATTATTGGCCCTACTTATCAATGAGAAATTCACATTTAAGGAGGTTAGTATGCATCTTCTGTTATATGTTGTCTGTAACTATTATGTAACTATTTTCATGTTCTTTTGGCTGTTTTCAAGAGCTGATTGTGCATTACTTTAACTTTTGTTTACTTTCCCAAAACATACTTATACATGGAATAGGTGATGTGGGCATTTTCCCTCTATTTGGAAGCTGTTGCTATACTTCCTCAACTAGTATTGTTACAGAGAACTAGAAATATTGACAATTTGACAGGACAATATGTCTTTCTTCTTGGGTAAGCTATGGTCTTTTATCTGATTTTAAACATTATTATATATTTCCATGATTTCCGTGGTTCTTTTTATTTGGCTAGTATTGGAAATGAGCAACGCCAAATAACTGAAAGATATTGTCTGTGTTGATATCTATTCCTGCGTAGAATGAGTTTAGTAGTGGTTTCATGCAAGATGAAGATGGGAACTGTAACTTTGATACAGTTCTTTGTCATTGAAATAAGTAACATTTGTTAAGTAGTGATTCACATAAAGAAAATCATAGCATTTCATCTGATGTATGTTTGAGGTTCTAAAATGGTGCTTGTAAGTTGTAATTGACCTAGATTGAATGGATCTGATTCAGACAACAAAAGGAATAGAGAAAATAATGAGTTTGCAGTAGTGTATATGAGCCTTCCTGTCCATTTTCTTATGGAGAAATGCTCAATGAATTTGGCCTTTTATTCTGGTCATGAGTTGAAAGATTTTATATGTGGGAAACCTAAGTTCTGAAGGATTATGGTCCCCAAGTTTATGCAATTAGCTCTGCTTAATTCATGTGTGTTATCACTTATCATAAAAAAAAAAAGCAAATGCAAAAATTATATGTCAGAGGAACCTGCCTGCACATATTTTAAATCTAGGGCTTTAACACCTAAGAACCATGACAGTGAAAGTTAGGTTTTCTTAGTTTTTCTTCATCTTCTCTTTTCTTTTCCGAACCGATTCCAACTTTTGCAGCCAGTTTGTATGACTTCAAAGTAGGGATCCTTTTTTTTTTTTTTTTAATCAATTCATTCTTGCCCCTAAAAGTCATGGTTGCACATGATTCAACCAAAACACCAATCTTAATTTCCCAAAAGATTACATGAACTGTTCAATACCCTAAGTGTGATCTGATACAGGCTTCAATGCCAAGAATCAAAGAAACAAAGCTCCTTGTGTCTTTTTTCCTATTCAGTTTCCATGGTTGATGGGCTTATGAGTGCAACATAAGTGAGCTATCAATTAAATTAAGTCTTTACATTAAAGTCAATTATTAAATTTTATAAGCTTGTAGTCTGCATTTTGCTTGATTCTATCCAAGAAGCTAATTAAGAACTCCATCCAAAATGGTATTTGTTACTGTCAACTGTTTGAGGACCCAATGAAGATTCACTTTTAATTCTGTTTCCACAGATCTTTTGTCTTTTGTCTTTTTTTAGTAGTTCATTTCATTTGTATTTAATATACCTGTGAGATGTTCATGATGTGATGTTTGTTCCTTTGAATGAATTCATGTGATCTTGTTCAACTCATTTGCAATTTTTTTTTTTAATTCCATGGATCATAAAACTATTATAATACTTCTTTGTCTGGTCAAATGCAGTGCGTACAGAGCACTATACATCCTCAACTGGATCTATCGCTATTTTACTGAGCCTCACTTTATACATTGGATAAGTATGATTCTCTCTTCTCTTGTGCTTTATGGTTATTATTGTTTTATTCTTTTACACTTATTATAAGAAACTACACTTTCGGTGCATTAGTCACTACATGTCTTGTGGTTGGGCATGTGTACCTCTTTATTGCATATTCTCAGCTTTCATACAGTATGAAATTGCCTAGGCTTGAGATGCATTTGTAGCATTGTTTTATGTTCCGTATCATTTAAACAACTCTAGCAAAAGCTTAAGCTATTAGATGAAAACACATATATAATTTTAATACTACATTTCTAACATGGTATAATAAGGTTTTTGTCGTCACAAATCTTTGGCATATCGATTTGGTGCATCCCATTACTGCTTGTGATGTTTGAGTAGAAGCTTCAATGTTTATGATAATGGTAAATACCGATATTTCTCTTTCATCAAATAGGTATTGATAATAATTTGCCATCTAATGCATGCTTCCAATGTGGGTACCTGCTACCATTTAGCTGATTCACTCCGATAGAATATCGATCAGCACAATGTTAGTAGCAGACCCCAATTAGGAAGATGAATGTGAGGAGAAATAAGGATGGACCCAATAATCTAGTTGGGTCCTGTTAGTAATAGTAGCTAGAGTTGATTGATTTTGTTAGATAAATTAGATATAATTACCTGATATTAGTTGATATTGTTAGATATAGTAGATAAGAGTTAATTGATATTAAGGAATATTGATAGATCCAACAGTTATGATTTTGTTATATTGGAGGATATTTCAGTAAAGGGTTATTATTTAGGATAAAAGGAAAAAGTGGACAGAGGGGAAAGATTATTGAGGGGTAATGGTTGAGTGTGTGAGAGAGACCAGGCTCTCGAATACCCGAGAAATAACATTTCTGTAATCTTTCTCTCTCTTTCTAACTTTGGGTTCTACATTGATCCAGGGGAAGGGAGACGACATCAATAAAATTCTCATTTTTTCTTTCATTATTTATTTATTTCTTTAATCTCTGGACCAATTTTATCACACAAGTTTAGGAGAAATTCACTAAATTTGTTTTTTAAAAAAAAGAAAAGAAATCGGAAACTTAGGTTATTGGTTGTTAGAGAAATATAATATTAAACTATTAATGTGGCCTTCACCAAACAGCCTAGGCTTTTGGGTTGCATTGGTTATTTACATTATATTAGAGCCTCCGTGACCAATTGATCATGAGTTCCATCCTTACTGCCCTTATTCTATTAATAACTAATTAAATATTGTGAAATTTCTTAGTATAACCGGGCGAGATTGTGTATTGTCCATCCTTCAAGTCCAATGGACCTTTATGTGAGGGGGCGTGTTACACAAATATAATATAAAACCAATAAACTAATTGCTTAAGTTTTTGGATTGAATTAGTTCTTTATATTGGTCATTTACTTGTACAACTATATACAAGAAAATGAAAAAAAATGTTGATGTCTTTCTCTATTTATCCGTTATCACTTGTTAAAAGATAGTAGTAGTGATTTCTCTTTAGACACCGCTACTGTTCAATATTCATGACAAAGAACCTGTTGACTTGAAATTAAACATGTAAACGTGATGGTAGCTATTGACTATCTGCTTGCCATGGCTTCTTGTAACACAAGACACGAGTAAAACATTGGCTTGATAACTCCTGATCATTTCTCAGGCAAAGCAAGAAACAGATAAATCAATAAAATAATGAAAGTTGCTAAGAAAATTACACTATATTCTGAAAAAGTCTTCCTGAGTACTTTTGATATGCCCTTTTGCAGCATGGATTTCTGGCCTTGTTCAAACACTGCTCTATGCTGACTTCTTCTATTACTATTTCCAAAGGTAAATTGCCCTACTTTTCAGGTCCATTTTATTTATGTTAATAATTCTTGTTGATCTGAGATTTGAGCATTTAAATTTGCGCCATGCAGCTGGAAGAACAACCAGAAGCTTCATTTGCCAGCATGAGTGTATTCTCTCCACTTCTTGAAAACCAAGGATCTCATGGGGACAATTAACAGTGAGCAGAAATCACTATGCTATCTGGACGTAGTGCTTTCTGATTTACAATTCCATATTTGTTTGTTCTTGCTCCCTCAAATACTACTGTACTAATAACTAGGAAGATTACAGACAGAAAGGCATCAAATTGTTTATGACTGTAATGCAATTTTAACTTGAAAAAGTATTGAGATCTAGATGGAGATACGTTGCTAGCTTCTATCCCTCCCTCTTCCTTCTCTCCATCTCGCTTGGGTGAGGTATTACCAAAGATTTTGCATGGATCAACACTTATTCTACCTTCATGGTAAAGAAAGTAGGAAATTGTGGGGCGATATGTAATCCCTTCTAGAAATCTTCAAAGAGGTCGGGGGATTTGCCTTAATCCTAGTGGAATACGAGTATCTAATCTCGGTTAAACTTTCTATTACTAAAAAAAGAAAAAGAAAATAGGTAATGGCGGTGGAGGATTCTAAATAGGTGCAGAATTTGTTGGAAGCATTTTCAATAACCCCATGTGTGAATAACTATTTCAAATAACTTGAGAATTTGGCACTTGGTTGAAACTTAAAAATCATGAAGATATTGACAAACATTCTCTGGTGACACACAGATCAAACTTGATATCTGAAGAGGACAGTAAAATATTTTGGTATAAATTTACTATTATGAGCAGAATCCTTAAAACTGGAAAAAATTTAAGATAAGCCAAGCTTTGTGTTACAACATAAAGTAATCTGACTCGAAGCTTCATTACTATTTGACATAAAGGCTTCCATCCACAAATCACTATTTCCCTTGTGTTCCTCTTTATTATCTCGGACAAAATAAATTACGCAAACAATGGAAGTGAATTGAGAAAATTGTTAAAAAACCGAGAAATGGGAGTCAGGGTGAACTTCCTACGGTGTTTATTAGGACCGTAAATGAGTCAAGTGAAGCTTTAGCTTAAATAAATTAGGTTTGTGTAAATTATTTCAAACTTGCCTTGACTTGGTATTCTTGTACAAGTCAAATTATAAGCTTGACTTGGCTTGTTTTTAAAAATAGGAGGCTTGGTCTCCTTGTCAAGCCTACCAAGCAATGTTATTAAAACTGGTCCGGTCAATGACCCTGTCGAGGTACCGGGTCACTGGTTCAATCAGTGGGTCACTGGTTCAACCGCATGACCCGGTAATTATATATAAATCTATAATTTATTAAAAAAAATTATGAATATACTCAAATAGCTGAAAATAATAATATAAATTCTAAATATTTTAATATAAAAATTAATAAATTATATATTATTATCCAATAAAGGATCAAACAAACACATAATACTTGTTATATTGGTGTTTCAGGTTCGGTAAACTCTAACTATCAAATCAAAATTCCTTGCATAGTGCATAACTGAGATACTATTAGTATTGTAAGCACATAACTTATGTAAGTCAATAAGTAACATATCTCTCAAATATGTCAATTATGATTTTTTTTGGAAAACTTTTTTTTTTGAATTTTTTTTTTAAAACCCGGGCCGGGTCACTGATTTTTCATCAAAACTGGCCGGGTCGTACCAGATCCGATACTTGACCGATCCAATGTGATAACCGGACCGCTTAGATGACCGGTTCACTGGGTTCCTGTAACATCCTCGTCTCGAGCCGGTTCAATTAACATACATATGATACAAACAGAAATAGCGGAAGACTTAACTTACAAAAATACGAGCTAACTTTTTTTTTCTTTTACATCTCCGTCTCGAGCCGGTTCAATTAACATACATATGATACAAACAGAAACAGCGGAAGACTTAATTTACGAAAATACGAGCTAACTTTTTTTTTCCCTTTTTCATTAATCTTAATTCACATGATATCTCACATTGCATACTTCTCCTAATTTAATTCGTATTTGACGAAGACGAAAATCGGGCAGAGTAATCTATGTAAATTGGACAACTGGGGATTTGTCAATCCCACTCTCAAAGGTTCCTGATAAACAGTTTATACCATATATAATTTCAGAAATACCAGATATCTATAAAGGACTATATACCCATCCATCGGTGCATGCATAACTGGCTCCGTGCCACTATGTCTAACAACATACATATTTCAGCACATGCACATATCTGAATACATGCATCAAATATGAACACATGTACAAAACATATACGGACCATATATTGTATAATGGATCAAACATCATGATCCCAAAATGAATAGAACACTTTACAACAGTACATATTCTCCAAAAATAACATCTATAATAAATAGTAGCGTCTGACCACCCAGAACTCCATATCCTCATACTAGTACCTCTAGCCACGGGTAGTGTCCTTGTCCCGTGAGGGCTCTTCAATGAACTGTGTTCCTGAAATCATATCCTCAAACGGGGTTAAAGACGAATCTCTAGTAAGCTCTAGGTTTATGGAAAACTCTTCATATCCTAGGCTCACTTCCTGCATGACAGTCGATATATAATATACAAAACATCATATACATCCTATATCATATTGTACTGAACATATCTCATATAACATCTCTGAAGTACGTAGTCATTCCCCAAGGATCTCTCTCCAAGTGGAAATCAATGCACTTATTCCCAAGTGTCTCTCCCCTACATGGAATATCTCATATCATATCGGTGCACACCGTTATTCCCAAGGGTTTCTCCCCTACATGGAATTGATGCACACTGATTCAATACCAAAAATCATCAGACATATCACATAAAACATGTCATGTAATCAAATATCATAACTGAACAATGCATATACACATATCTTATCAGAGACGTACGCAGTAATTCATAAGGGATGACCCTAAGCGGAAATCAACGCACATAACAAATATCATATACAAAATCATCACAATAATCACATCAGAACAAAACATATCTTATCAGAGACGTACGCAGTCATTCCCAAGGGATGCTCCAAGCGGAAATCAATGTACGTGTTCCCAAGGGAGGACCCCAAGCGGAACCAGAACATATCAGAGGTGTACACCATCAGTCCCGAGGGATGACCCCAAGCTGACATCAGTGCACATAGGATCAATGGCCAGAGATCATCACATAACAGAGGTGTACACAGTCAATCCCAAGGGAGGACCCCAAGCGGAAATCAGTGCACATGTTCCCAAGGAAGGACCCCAAGCGGAGCTCAACATATAACAGATATATACACAGTCAGTCCCAAGGAGGACCCCAAGCGGACATCAGTGCATATAAAATCAATGGCCAGAGATCATTACAGAAATCACATCAAAACATATCAAAGTAAACACATCAAAACACATCAAATTAAACACATTAAAACATATCACATCGCATCATCATATAATTTTATATGAATGCATCTATATCATATATCTCATACATATCATACAACCTGACCACAGTCCGTACACTATGGCGGAACACAAAGTAGGAGCGAATCCCATAAATATAGAGCTTACCTCTCAAAGCTGTATAGATGGCCTACCTAACAACCGAGTTACCAAGCCTCCTCTGATGTAGGGTCCTCAACAAGACTCTTAGGCGCACCTAGAATAGGGAGTCCATACAAATATCAATAAAATGGTTCCAAGCCAAGTAGTAAACTGGACACACCATTTATTGATTTTATCTTTTACTTATCAAATATTTCTTAACTATTCATACATACGGTACTGTTCATCTCTACAGTACTGTTCATATACGTCATTATTCACGTATGCGGTACTATTCATATACGTCACTATTCAAAAATACGGTATCTCAAATTTTTCAAATACATTTTCACCGTTAAAATCTTCATCTAAACACTTTTCTCAACATGAGCCAAGTCTCAATCAAGCTCTAACATGCTCAATCAAACCAAACTTTCAAAATGGAAAACTAAATCAAATCTTCCTCAAAACTCAAAGAAAATTAGGATTTCTCAACATAAACTTACTTAGAACGAAGGGAAAAGCTTACTTCAAGCTCGCATGGCTTCAAGCTCTTTCAAAATCCCCCCTTTCAAAGAAATCCAAATTTTAGAGGAAGAAGATCTCTCTCTCCAGTGAAACCCATCCAGAAATACTGGTACCAATGGATTCCTCTCGAAATTTCTCACAAGCTTGGCTTTGGAATGAAGCGATTTGGAGTTCTCTAGCTCAAGTTATGAATTTTGGAAGATTTTCCATCAACTTCTCCTATTTTCTTTCCTTTCCTTCTGTGTCGATCTGTCTCTGCCCGTGGAAGACGCGGATTTATAATTGTGATAGTGACTCACTTAGTCACTTAAGTCAGTTCATTAACCAGCGGGGTATAAGCTCATTTATCCACATACCTCCATTCATTACCAAACACTATCTACTGGACTAGAATATTTTTCAAGTCATATTTTTAACTTTACTTTCACTTTTCGGGTAACTTTTTTTACCCGCATTTTCATCTCTTAACTGTCATTTTAACTCATTTTTCATCAAAGGTGACTTTATTTCTTTTTCTTTATAATTATCCTTCAATATTAAATCCATAATAAATGTGAGGGTCATTAAAGTTCCGGGTCAACCCGACTGGTCCGGTCCGGTTTTCACAACATTGCTACCAAGCCTTAAAAAATGGCATATTGCATTTTGTAAAATATAGTTATGAACTTATGATGATTTTGTTTCTTTTGTATGTTTAACTTGATGGAACATATTTCTTTTCTATGTGCACAACAATCCAAAATATTAACAATTTAACTATATTGCTAGAAATAAAAAACAAAATAAAATGGCATGGAAAAGGTAAAGAGTCGGTGACGGCGAAGAAATTTAGGGTCAAGAAAACATGTGTTTGCCAAGTGAGAAGAAGGAAGATTGGAAAAAATTTTAAAAATCACAATATACTATTTTATTAAAATATATATTATTTAATTTAAAAGTAATAATATATTAATTTATTAAAAAATAATAAGATATTATTGTTTTAAAAATAAAATAAAATATTATGTATTAAAAAATACAAGTCGGGCTTGGAGATCAAGCTTGCTAAAATTAACTTGTGGCCTGATTTCTAAACAAACCTTTTTTAATAAGCTTAAACTTATACTATTTTTAAAACAGGTCAAAGGCAAGCTAATATGTAAGCCCCTGACAAGCCGCTTACTCATATACACCCCCAGTGTTTATATTCAATTTCTAGGATCTGAAAATCCCAATTCTTAAATTTGTCTTCTGTTTTTTTTCCTTTTCAATTCAGTCGTAAATGGA